CGACTTTCTCAGGTCTGATGTTTCCAGGTAGATGGCAGCACTTGAAACGGAAGTTCGCACCTGGTCACTTTCGGGCGGCCCCCATTTGTGAGGCCCCCATCCTCCCATTTGGATCTAACTGAGATAAACTTTATTAGCATGTGAACTTTAGAGATCCGATGAAATTATTTCATTATCCTATGTTTGTTCTTGTTACAGGATGCAGTTGAACTGTACTATAGCTATCGACTTTACAGCGTCGAACGGAAACCCACTGACTCCGACCTCGCTGCACTACATCGCCCCCTACTCCCCGAACCAGTACACGCAAGCTCTCGCGAGCGTGGGGGAAATCATTAAGGACTATGACAGGTACTACATCGACAGAAGGCCGCCGCCGACAAGCAACCGAATGCAGAAAGCTTCGTTACTAAATGATTGAACAAAATGGTGTCGGTAACGATTGACCAAACAAAGAAGCTTCGTTACTTAATGATTGAACAAAATGGTGTCGGTAACGATTGACCAAACTCCGAATACAGTAGTGAGCAGTGCTTAGCTAGTCGGCTACACCCTACAGTACATGATCAGCTAGCAGGGCGGGCAAGCCACCAGCAGCTACAGATCAGTGGGAGGTTGAAAGCTTCATTGCTAATGCTCACCAAGCGGCGTGACTGAGCCAAGCTGGCTCTGTGTTGCTTTGGAGCTGGACGAGTCTCCGGCCTGCACCATGAAGTCAGTGATGATGAGATGGAACTTGGTGTTGCCGTAGTACTAGTAACCTCGGCGTGCGAGCTCCGCAAAGTTACGACAGGTGTTCAGAGCGTGGTGCCAGTACAGTTATATCACCATCCCGCCCATCCTGTAAGTCGCAAAAAGCCACGTTTGGCTATATTACAATGTCTGTGTACATCACTACATGTACAAGCATGTGCATGTTCATTGTATATGTTCATTGATGATTGCATGTTCTTTTGTGACCAAACAAGCCGGCATGAGATACTTCAGACTTTAGGACACTCTTAGTCTGCAATAAAGTATATAAACGACGGAATATGTATACACGAATACATGGTTGTATACCAAAAAAATGGAAAGACGTGGGAATGATTAGGAGTTTTTATACCGAATCTTACATGTACTGGTACATTGTATTGCAATTTGAATGTTGTTCAGAACTCACGATGTTTCCATTACGACAAATGGAGGTTGCCAGGATGCTGGTGGAATGCCTGCCATTCTATCCCACGTATGCTATAACGTGAAAAAATTTAACAAAACCCCCTGATTGATTCTTAAGCGCTGGTAATATCCAGATTCTATCGTAAAAAATTTACTGAAAACTACATGTACTCCTACTCTCCACGAAAACCCGCCACTATCACTAATGACGTCACCGTCTCGGCATGGCACTGAAATCGTGCACGATCTGCAGTGAGTGACTATAGAAATGTCCAAATAAAATACAAGTGAAAACATTTACCAGATAAAACTTATTTATAAAATGTTTTACGATATATAGATTTACCGATAATTATGCATTACGCTAAAAGAGGAAATAATTTTATCTCCAGTCAAGGGCGCAACCACGTGTTGAAAGTTGGGTGGGTCACAAGCAGCCAATAGCAACGTGATCTGCGGGCGAGCGAATATCACGTATCACGGTTATGTACACGTATCACGGTTATATCACGCGTATACACGGTTCAATATCACGTATTTCAGCGTGTTGAGGGAAGTGTTGCATAATTGTGATGTCATGAATGACATTACTAGGATCATGTATACA